TCAATCCAAAAAGTGGTCTTCCACAAGATGTCTCCGAACGAGACCCTCTTCTTAGAAAGCACCAACAAGATAATAAAAGACGACATAAGCAACTCAAGTTTCGTGCAGTTCCAGATTTGGGATTTTCCGGGGCAAATTGACTTCTTCGATCCGACATTCGACAGTGACATGATTTTCGGTGGTTGTGGAGCTCTGGTATTCGTTATTGATGCTCAAGACGATTATATGGAGGCCCTGAACAAACTCCACTTAACGGTGACCAAGGCCTACAAGGTTAATCAAGCCATTAAATTCGAGGTTTTTATCCACAAAGTTGATGGTTTATCGGACGATTACAAAATGGAAACCCAGAGGGATATTCATACGAGGGCAAACGACGATCTAGCAGACTCAAACTACGATCAGATTCATCTAAGCTTTCATTTAACATCAATTTATGATCACAGCATCTTCGAGGCTTTTAGCAAAGTCGTGCAGAAATTAATACCTCAGTTACCAACTCTGGAGAATTTATTGAACATTTTGATATCCAATTCTGCTATTGAAAAAGCATTTTTATTTGACGTTGTGTCAAAAATTTACATCGCGACTGACAGCTCTCCAGTGGACATGCAGAGTTATGAGCTTTGCTGTGATATGATTGACGTTGTTATTGATGTATCCTGCATCTATGGATTGAGAGAAGATTTGGAAGCCGCTGCCTTCGACAATCAGAGCTCCAGTTTGATTAAATTAAATAACGGAACGATTCTCTATTTGAGAGAAGTCAATAAATTTCTTGCTCTTGTCTGCATTCTGAGGGAGGATAATTTCGATAGGCAGGGAGTTATTGACTACAACTTCCTGTGCTTTAGGAAGGCGATACAGCAGGTATTTGAGCTTAGGAACAAGGCAACTAGTGCTAATAATCATTCTTCGAGCCCAGCTAGTGCTATTGAGGGGAGCAGTGCTCCTGGGGGACAGTCTGGAAATAATGGACAGAATGGCACTGCTATTGTGCTTGCTCAAAGTTAATAAGTTAGTCCCGTCGAAATGGCGGAAATTGCAGCAATGGACTAACTTTGCCATCTCACAAACGCTAATCTTTTCGAGAGATAATGACCTGGCATTGTTCTACTATTGTAAAGTCCCTTAATTATTTTTATGGAATTCTTTTTGGAACTTTGAGACATCTAGATTTAAAATATAGCAAATGTAATTTTGACATGCAATCTCTCGATATTTTTTTTTGCAGACTTATTGAAATAATTTGTAAGAAATTCTCAACTCATCTATTTTTACCCCTTGCTTAAATTGTTTATCGATTGATTGATCAATATAAATATCTGTATATTTGTATCATGCCTTTAT